GGACACCCACGCATGAGTGGGGCAGGAGATGGCCAGCAGTAGGGGACTGGCACGGAACAGCTCAAACCTTGTTTCCCCTCAGGACTTCCACCTCTCAGAGGCTATATTGGCCCTGTTCCGGTGCCGAACGCAGCTGGTCGTGGTGGCAGTTGAACAGGGTGTCCTGCTGCTGCCAGATTCTAGCCCTGAAGTATTTGGAAGGGGATGATGAGGAAGAAGTGCTCCGGCTGTGCAGCCTGTGGCGTTCTGCAGGGATGATGGTGCCAGGGGAGGTCTTGCCTCTGGAGGTGCTTGTGTTGCACGTAGGCTTGCCCCACTCCGGGGAATAACAAGCAATCCCCAACCCTGTCCTCCTGCATTCTGTTAGCCTAGAGCTTCTGATGTTATAGGTAAGATCATACGTAACTAAGCAAAAGCAGTTCTGTATCCTCTGAACTGGAGTCTTGAAGCAGCTCAAATCTTCAGAGTAAAACTGAGTTTTAGTGTTCCTTTCTTTTTTTCTGACATAGATCTTACAAACGCTTGTGTACATGCTTAGTGTAAAACGTGGCTAATCCAGTTGAAGTCAGAAGTCTCATTTGCATGAATAAAGTGGGATGGGATGCATAAACCTGCAGACTTATGGTCATAGGTTACGATGTTATTAAGTTGCTGAGAGCTGTCTAATTTGTCCCTAATAAAGGGCTGAATTTTATAGGTAGAACTGTAATACAATATTACAAATGCTGTACTTAGTGAAGAGGGAAGCAGTTGTGCTGCGAGTCATGGGTATTTAGAAGTAGTTTTATGAGCTGGGCTGTATATTACACTTACTCAACCGTAAGCATAATCTACTGCACTTTCAGTTGTGTAGTTGTAACTGTTTTGGCCTGTGTAGGAACGAGGCAGTAACCTACAAATTCAGGTTATTAAACATGGTTGCTTGATATACATCCAGTATCTCCACACATGGTGTGTAAGTTGGGGGTGGGTTGGTTGGTTGTTTTCTTTCCATTTGGGGTGTGCAAAAAACTGTGAGCTTTTGGCAGACATGGAAAGTGAATTAGGTGATTGCTGATGCAGTTCAGGTTTCTAAAGCTGTAGTAATAGTGTCACTGCTGCAGTCTTCTTTTATGTATGTATATAGTAGCTTTCTTATTATAGTTGCGGTTTCGTCTCAGATTTATATTGGCGCCAACTCTTGTTATCTTGTACCGCTGGAGATCTGTGGAGGGAAAGAAAAAAAGAAAGAAATTGAGGAGTGTGCTGATTTTCTTATTGTACCTGTTATGGATAGACAGACTAAAACAGTAATAGGCTTACAGGCTTTTATAAGATGACTTTTCTCCAAACAAATGCTTGTTTGGTGCTGAGGTTAAAAAAAAACCTCAGAAACTGCTTGTTCCCTTTTATCACTATGTGTTAATCCCTGACAGTTTTATAGTGTTATATACCATAAAGATTTTTACACTTAGTTACTTTGTGGTGGCTTGTACTCTGAGTGAATTTTTTTTTTTAATTAATTTCACATCCAAGACTGGTTTCTGTTACTGTTTGAAATGAGAGGAGTATCATTAAGTTTTTATCTCCCATTTTTCAAATTAATTAGTATTAATGAAGTATTCTATAAAGACTTACCTTGTAAGTAAGTTTACTTGGTTCAACAATCTTAATATTTAGAGACTTTTTGACACTAAGACTGTAATGCTGTACACTGTAGGCAGTCTTTAGACCACAGACATTTTTTTTCCTTCTTATGCTGCTTCTTTTTTTTCTTTTTTTTTCCCCTCCAGTAGTCAGTGCAGAACAGCTAAGTAACTTTTGAATATATTTTTCTTTTTAACCAGGAGATCATTGATACAGGATTATTCCCATTTTCTTATAGTTGCTCACTCTTTTGTGGTACTCCTTGACACCGAGTTGTTTTCATTAGTTTCTGAAAATACATCTCTGGGTTTTACCAGGTCTCCCTGGAGAGATTCATAATTTTGGATGTTGAATAAAGTAACTAGAGTGGAAGGACTAGGCATTTGCAGCAAACTGTGTGGGATAATTGTTACATTAAGTAGCTGTTTCATGAAGCAAGTGCACTACTACTTCAGAAGCAAACTCGGCTTTAGTTCTTTCATGTTCTCCCCTCTCCACTTGTGCTCGCTGTTGCCACAGAAAGGGAAGGAAGGTGGATACTGTGGCAAAAGTTGCTCAAGCAGCTAAAGAAGTCTAAAGAAGTTCAGCCGTAAGAATAGCCTTAATCTCATCTGACGAGGAGCCTATGTGACAGGTCACAGTGTGTTAGTAGGATTGTCCTTCGTGAGGCTCCTATTCAGCAGTCTTGGAGAAACTGAAGGGCATGGAGTTCCTGTCTTTCTTGTTACCACTTACCAGCCTTAGATCTCTCACGTGTCCCTGGTGCCTGATTTAGCACTTGTTATGTTTTTGTCTCCTGAACCACCGCACACAGCGAAGGGATTCTTCTGCCACTATGATAAATTTTTTTAATTAGTATTCAGTTTAGAAAGGGAATGAGGAACAACATCTTTATCTTGATGGGTTTACAGAGGGTTGAGGAGTGGGAGCGCACCGAAGTGGAAAGTTGAATGATGTTAGTAGGCCTAGGACACATAGCAGGGGTGAAGGAAGTACTTACAGGAAACCTGCTTTTTCATTTGTCATAAATTATTCTCTGCACTGCCACAGAGACAGCAACATACTTGGCCAAAGCTGCCTTATTTTATTAGCAGAATAGGCAGGTGTTGAATCTCTAAAAATACTGCTTTGCCACCCCTGTCTTTTATTGAAGTGAAAAAAAAGACTTAGGTTCATGGAATTTCAGTTTGCATATTACTTTGCCTGAATTTAATACATTTCACAGAGTTCTTTTCTGTAACAAAATCTCTTTTCAGTGCCAATGTGTTGCCAACCAGCTGAACACCTGGCTTCCCAAAAGCTCAAATGCATGTTTTCTAAGCGTGGCAAGTCAAGATTAAAATGAAAGTATGATAAAAATCCATGTGGATTTCTAACTTGGAGTCTGAGGTTCAAGACAAAGGTGAGAAATCCTGAAGAAACTGGAGTGCTTCGTAGGTACACAAATTGGGAAAAGGAGTTTATTTCCTTTGAAGTTACTGTGATCGTTCTGAATAATACGGAGTCCACTGTGAAGGCGTATGAGCTGCTGATTCCCTTGATACTAATGCGGCTACCTTACTGCTCAGTAATGTCAGCACTTTGTAAGTTATATCTAGTTTGTATATATTTCCACTCGCTGTCAGGGATCTCCCATATTAGAGAAAATGAAAGAATTAATATCTTGTTTTGTATAACCTGTTTATCATCAGTTTTCATAGTTAGCTTCTCAAAAAAAAAAAAACAAACCCCAAACCCAGTGTAATCCTTTGACGAATCTAGTATTAATGTGTATCAATCTAGTCTCAGAGACGGTAACATTGTGCTCTCACAGATGTTTGAATGCTCGATGTACTTAGTGCAGATAAATTGCTAGGTCTGACAGGTGTGGAAAGTGAGCAAAACTTGTTACCTATGAAGATGGGATATGCAGAGTCAGCGCTTCATGGATAAATGTGATGGCTTTGGACTTTGTGGCTTTCTAGTGGAGCTTCCAAACATTCAGTAACTGGTTTATTCAACACAGGGTACTAGTTTAAATATTCTAAGTACTTAAGAACTGCTGATAGCAAACTGATTTCCGTCTGGACTTTACAGCTGACATACTGTCAGTGGGCTTTTAACCTGCAAGAGAAGGCATATTGCCAAATGTCCTACACACTAGTGTGAAATCAGTATGCCAGTTATTGCTTTGTCCTATGGTATTGAGATTGAATGCTTGGAGATTGCTATTAGTAGTAGAAACGTAGTAATAATCTTGTGATCTTTTATACCTAGTTAGAAATTATTACGTAGGCAGTTCAAAAGCAAAAAAACCTTATGATTCTTAATTTCCTTTCTCTTGTTCCGTGTAATCTAAGATCTTCACGCGAGGCCGTATTTCCTGCCCAGCAATGACCAGGACACGTGTCGTGTGAGGTTGTGCTACATCTGCAACCCAAATAGCAAAACCCACCCTGCAGCTTCTGGGGCGGGATGGGTTTTTTGGGGCTTTAGTCCAGGCATTAGTGCTGTACGTTGAGGTTATCTATCGCTTCTGCGCTTAATAACCACTTGAGGTTATCTATCGCTTCTGCGCTTAATGTCTACTTGTTAATAACCATGTTATACCAAGCAACTGTAGCGTAGTTCAAAGTATTATGGGATGTAATAGAATGGCTTGTTGTAGTGGACCTGTGGATCCAGTGGTTTGGTTAGTTTGCTTTGAGTTTAATATTTTGAGTAGAATTTGACCCAAGTTTTCTGTTG